AAAATTATACCTCATTTTAGTCTGCTGCATAGTCGGACCATGATTTTTCTGTACAGTCTTTTTGTTTTTCTAGGCTTTCCTGATTGCCTTTGTGTTTTCTTATTGGAAGGGGATGTGTATCTTTGCTCATATTCCAATGTCTGTTAGCATTTTTACTCATGTTATCTATTGCTTGGAATTCTTTTCATTCTTAAAGACGATGTTCTCGGGTGTCTGTTGACTTCCTGTTTGAAACTAGATGGGTTGCCTTCCAGCCGCTGCGTGGCGGCCAGCGCCCTGGTGTCGTGGAGCTCCTGGTTTAGTTCCTCAGTTATGGAACCCCGCAACTCCCCGCTCACTTTTGTTTACTGGTAAATATCCTTAAGTAATTTCCTAATAAAAGGTGCCTAGGAGATAAACATTACTTGGCCCTCATGCAAAATTGGTATTTCTGCTGATTATAGAGTTTTAGCTTCAAAATAATTTTTTCTCCGAATTTTTTAAAGCCTTGTTTCAGTATCCTGTGTTCGCCATTGTTTTGAATGAGAAGTTTTGTGCCAGTCTGAATCTCTTTTTTTTTCTTTCTGGAAGCTTTTGGCGGTTCGTCTTTATCTTTCATAATGATGTGTTTAGAGTTGTAGTGGCTCAATCTACAATAAATTTGGAGAACATTCCATCTTTGCTTACGAATGGAAGTTTTCGTTTTGAAGGGATTAGAATTAGTGTCAACACTTTTTTTTTTTTTTAAATGGGTACCTGAGCTCACATCTGTTAACAATCTTTTTTGTTTGTTTGTTCTTCTTCTCCCCAAGGCCCCCGGTACACAGTTGTGTATATTTTAGCTGTGGGTCCCTCTAGTTGTGGCATGTGGGATGCCACCTCAGCATGGCCTGACGAGCGGTGCCATGTCCGCGCCCAGGATCCAAACTGGTGAAACCCTGGGCTGCTGCAGTGGAGCGTGCGAACTTACCCACTTGGCCATGAGCAGGACTCTCAACACATTGTAACATATTGGGTTTCATATGATGAAGCCAAGCCTTTGAAATACTTTTAGGCACTTAATCAGCTACTTCACCAACATTGTAATACAATTGATATGGATTTCCATAGGTGAAATGACAGAGACTACGTAGGCCATGCCTAGCTTATAGCTAGTTTTCTCTAACTGCCCGGGAAGCTGCCTATCCACTGTGACTTCTCTTAGTCCTTTACAGCTCCTCTTCTCCTGCTTCCCCCGTCTGCCTTCACTCTGCTCTGTCCATTTGCAGCCCCTCATGAGCCTGAAAGGGAGATGAAGGTCAGCCCAAATTTGTCCCTTTTGCTGCTTGTCTGAAAGGGACCTTGATAAAGGGACAAGGCCAGTGTCATTGACTGAGGTGAGGGCAGAATTACCTAGAGTATTCATGTTGCTTGAACTTCTGCTTCCAAGATCCACCAAACCCCAGACTCTTCTGCCTAAGGCCTGTGTTTTGCAGATGAGTGATGAAGAAAGCAGGTCCAGCATCAGAGCTGTGTGACGGGCAAATTCCTTAACCTCCGAGCCCTGGTCTCCTCGGCTGTAAAGTGGGGATAGTGATAGTGTGTCCCTCACGGAGCCGGGTGGATGTGCTTTAACAGAGTTAGTACAGGTAAACACTTAGCAGTGTTTCTCACACAGTCAGTTCTTTCACAGTATTATTTGTGGTTATTGTTACAGGCAAAGAAAGGACTTATCTAGGGTCTTAGGGTGAAAGTGACCTACATATTATATGACAGATTTCAAATAACAATATTATATAATTTTCTAAATTTTATATTGAAAAGTTAGAACAAGGCCAGAAAAAGCTCTTAATAACAAAAACAGTATGATTTACTGAGGCCATATTCTGTGCCAGATACTACGCTAGGCACTTTATTTCTAATCCTTCTAACAGCCTGCAAGAAAAGTGGTGTCGTCTTCTTTTACCCATGAGGAGACTGAGGCTAATGGAGGCTCAGGGTGGTGCTGCCCTGACCAAGGAGACTGCTGGTAAATCGTGAAGCCGGGGTCTGAACCCAGGGCTCTCCGACCTCAAAGATCACGTACTTCTTTTTCACCACCCGAAGGATATGAGGCACACAAGGGGACCAAAGATAGCATGGGTTAGCATTGTTCGGTCTGGTAGTCAACACACTACTGAACATCATGGGAGGAAAAGAAAGACAGCAAGAGGGAAGTGCTGTTATGATGAAGCTTCACATTGGGAGGAAGTTGTCTTTCTGTTCTGAAACTGTGCCCTTCTGTGCAAGCATTTACAGAACATACCTGCTCGGGACTCGTCTGTAGGCTCCCCCGCCATTGGTCATGTGGGCTGAGGGAGTCTGCAGGCAGGCGGAGGAGAGGCTCCCACGTGAACATGTGCCAGGACCCGCTGCGGTTCATGGGATCCACTGCTGGGCCGTGATGAGCTCATACTTCGTCAGGCAGATGGGTTCTTTTATCAACGTATCTTTCTGAACAGGTGATATACTCACGTGATTCGGAAATCAAGATGATACAGAAAGACACATTGAGAAATCTCGCTTCCACTCCTGCTCCCATCCACCCTGTTTCCCCATAAAGATAGCCATTTTTTTTTAAGATTTTATTTTTCCTTTTTCTCTCAAAGCCCCCCGGTACATAGTTGTGTATTTTTAGTTGTGGGTCCTCCTACTTGTGGCATGTGGGACGCCGCCTCAGCGTGGCCTGATGAGCAGTGCCGTGTCCACACCCAGGATTTGAACTGAGAGATAGCCATTTTTAATAGTGAGTCTTTCTAGTGTGTCTTTATTCAGACTCAAGCAAATACAAATATTTTATTACTTCCTTGTTACATAAAAGCATCCTGCTTGTGACTCTGTAGTATATTCTGAAGATCCTTTTATATCAGTACATAAAGAACTTTCTCATCTTTTTTATAGCTGCAGAGTAAATTTCAAAAGTAAATAAAATAGTTTATTTAACTCATTCCCGAATGATGGGCCCTTGGGCTTTCTTTCCTCTGTTGTCAGCATAAGCAGTGCTCCCTGCGTAGCTTTGTTCGCACGCCTCTCGGAATACAGTGCGCGTGTCGCGTTAGGATAAATTCCCATAAGTTGGAAAAGGGGAAGCCTTGCAGTTATCATCGTAGTAGGTTTTCCCCCCACCCATGGGGCTTTTACAGTTTTGTACTCTCGCTACCTGCGTGTCCACAGCTTCTCCAACAGAGCCTGTTGTCAGAGTTTGGGATTTTTGATATTCTACTAGGTGAAACATGGTATTTCAGGGTTGTTTCTATTTGCCTTTTTCAACACCGAGCGAGGGAGAGCGCCTTTTCCTCTGCGTGTTTCTCTCCTGAGAATGCCTGTTCGTGTCCTTTGACTCATTTTCTTTTGGGTTCTTGGTCTTTTCTCCTTGGTTGCTAGGAGCCCTTACATTACCAAGATTAGCCCTTAGTCTGTGCTGTGAGTCTCAGATATGTTTTCCCAGTTTGTCATTTATTGTATGACTTTGCTTATATGTGTGCCTGGTTTTTTAAATCATGCAGAAGTCTTTTTTACTTTTATGTAGTCAGATTCATTCCATATTACTTTTATGGCTTCTGGATTAGTGGTGTTCTTCAGAGGCATGTTAGTAATAGCTATTGTAGAAAATCTGAGGACGTGCACAGGTCTAGTAGGCACATTAAATAAAATTCCAATTTTCACCACCCTCGTGGTTCGCTTTAGGCCTGTGTGCTCTGCTCATGTGTTGGGACATGCTGGGTTTCCCTGCAGCTGTGCCTGTGGACGCTTCCCACTCAGGCTGCCGTTGGGGCGACCCTGCCTGTGTCCCCTGGGCCCCTCTACGTTTCTCTGTCTCCCTCTAGCGCAGCTCAAAGGCCTTTCTGCATTCTCTGAGTGAGGCTCCCATCTCGAGTTGTGGGGAGAAGAGAATCCACTTTAGACCGTGTTCCTGGAGTAGACGGCCTGTCGGAGTCAAGCCCCTGACTGATGCCCCAACCTGGACTCCCGGGGGGCTTTTTTTTAATGATTTTATTTTATCTTTTCATTTTTATTTTTCCTTCTTCTGTCCAAAGCCCACCCGGTACATAGTTGTATATTTAGTTGTGGGTCCTTCTAGTTGTGGCGTGTGGGACACTGCCCCAGCATGGCTTGATGAGTGGTGCGAGGCTCGCGCCCAGGATTTGAACCACCCAAACCCTGGGCTGCCGAAGCGGAGCACGTGAACTTAACCACTCGAACACAGGGCCAGTGGTTAAACTCCCAGGTGGGTTTTTGACCTCTGGGCTCCTCATGCACACACAGGTCACACACACAGGTCACACTTCTCTCCCGTCTTAATAGTAACACCCAAAGCTCATCCTCTGGCTGCTTGAAGTGCAGACTTCTCCCCTCCATTCCCCGGGACATTAACATTCACAAGCCAGTCTGGGGATCCTCCCCCCAAAATGCACTTGCTTTTGTGCACACACACACAAATACACACTTCCCTGAAGTGAGCTGTGGCAGCTTAACCAATGCCCACATGTTTCGTGGCAGCACTGTGCTCTGTGGCGTCAGCACTCTACTCACACAGCTGAGTCCACAGTACATTTTTCCTTGTGATCCAATAATTTTCCCCCAAAGTGAAACCATTTGGGGAAAATAAATAGAGACAGTGAAATGAATAGCTATTATCATGCGATCTCCTTTGAACCCACGGCAGCCTTTTTTGGTGGTCTCCCTGTGCCGTCACCTGGGGAGGCGGGGGCGTCATCTGATCACGGACAGCGTGGAAAGGTCCCTCCTCGCCTTCATGGGTGTGCATCCTCCGTCAGAGACTGCGCTTCACTGTTTATTTTGTTTAACAAGGCTTCGAACAAAGAACCGACACTTCCTTCAAATTTAGAAGAATTTCAAAGCCATGAAAAGTATTGAGTTTTAGATATTAATGGAGTTTTAGAAATCTAGTGTATCAAACTTTTTTAAAATAATAAATATCAAGAGTTAACTTTATCTTTAAATCGTAGATTATAATTTTTTTAAATTTGTTACTTTTACAGAAAAAGACACTATGGATGTATGGTGCAACGGTAAAAAAATGGAGACAGCAGTAAGTTGACTTTTTGATTACTCTTAGCACCATGTGTATAAGTTACCATTGAAATGTTGCTGTGTTTCCTAATTATGGAGATTTTATAATTAAAAAAGGTCCTCTTGGTTGAAAACAAAAAAGAGATTAAGTACTCCGGATACCAAATTCTGAAGACCCTCCCCAGACGGTGCCTGGGGCAGTGAGAGCGTGGAGACGACTGAGGCTTTGAGCTGGTACACCTGCCCCTCCGCCCTTCCTCTCCTGGACCGGGCTGTAGCCTAGATTCCCGTGTGAAAAAATTCCTCCCCCAACAGTGGGCATGCTGTGTTTATCCATGTTTATACCACTGCTTCTCAAACTTGCATGCACAGAAATCACCTGGGATCTTGTTAAAATGCTAAGTGTGACATTTCCCCAGGTGATGCCAAAGCTGCTGGGCCCCAGGTCACACTGAGACTCAGAAGGCTCCACGCCACACACTCAACACAGGTGGTAATTTTCTAAAAGCAAAGTTTCTGAAAAAGAAGTGATGCACACAATGTGAGATGACACACAGCAGACAGGAAGAGTCACCATCAGAAACCCCAGAGACAGGTGGAACTGGTAGACTGGCAGTCAAGATGCGGGAGAAACAGGCTGCCCCACTCATGGAGGCCGAGCGCGCTGCAATCCCCATCTCGACCCCAGGACATTCTGCTTTTGCTCTCAGCTGCTTGCACTGTCATGATTGTGGGTGGGATGAATATAGGCGTGACTTTCAAGCGAGAATCACAGTGGTGTGCACGGCATGGGGAGAAAGTGGGAGCAGAAGAGACCGTCGTGGGAAGCAGGGAGTGTGGGACCAGGAGCTGAAATCACTGGGTGGAAATCCCCATGTGATCTGTGGCGAGCAGGGGGCACTCTCGCAGGCCCCCGCCTTTCACGCTGGCTTCAGACGTGAACGCCAGGGCTGGGTTGGAGAGCTCCTCTTGGTCACACTTCAGCTAGCTGCACATTGTGGTTGCTGCCGTTATCCCCTTAGTCTGTTACAGGTAGGGAGGTGAGGAGAGGCGCCCGGAGGGAAGGGCAGAGAAACTACCTAGAACCTGCTGGGCCCTCTAGCTGTCTGCTTCTCAGGAAGCCGAAGCCAGACTCCAGAGTTACAAAAATGAATGCTTTTGTTTTTCTTAATCCGGGTGTTAATTCTCGAAGGGAGATTTAACCTGGGCTCACTCAGAATTGATCTTCGGAGCTTGAGCCACTCTCTGGGTTAGACCTACTGATGGAGACTTCTGTGCGGAGACGTTCGGGAGCTCGGCGATATTTTCTGGACCCTTTTAGGACAGTTTCATTTTCCATTAACGTGGGTTGGGTACCTACTGTGTGCCCAATGCCACAGCTGGCGTTCCTTCCTGTCCTTTCTTTTCTACCTTGGAATTCTCTAGATGGAGAATCAGCAATTTTGAATCATGGTCCCTCCCCCCTTCAAGGAATTCTCCAGTGCAAATGTAAAGAGAATGTTGTTTCGTGGTATTAAAAGTGTGGTTGTAAGTGAGTAAGAAGTTGAAAATAATATTCACTCACAGTGTCTTTGTTCCGCGGTAGTGGACGGGAACCCACGAGCGTTTGAGTAATAGTTCCTTCTAAGCCAGCTCCCTCCTCATTGTAACTAGCTTGCAGGGCATTTGGGGCAGCTCCGTATCCAGGCAGCCTTCCCCAGTACTATGCACACCTGTTCTTGCGGCCTGTGAGTGACAGCTCATTTTCTCCGTTGTCTTTTCATCTCAAAGCATCGTGACCAAGACTGTGCATCTGTCAGATTGCCAAGAAGCTACTTACGGGGATGGTATTGCTCAACCCTTGCCCTGCCCTCTAAGTTGATTTTTGCAGAAGCATGGCCTAAAGGCTGTTTTCAAGGCTCCATATAAAGAGTGAAAAGCACACACTGCGCTCCAGGACCAGTCCATCCGGTCCTGTGGTGGCATTCAGTACACCTCCCAGAAGGAGCCACTGGCCAGGTTCTTCTCAGAGCTGGGGCTGAGCTTCTCTCCCAACACAGCCCGTGCTTTCTTGGTTTAGATGTCAGCTGTGGGACTTTGCTCTTTCTGCTTTGGCTGCCAGGGAGCTCACAGACAAATCTTAAGTCTGATTGTGGCTTCTTTGTTGCCTGGCGTAATTCACTTTTATCCTCTAAGCCTCCTCTTCCTCCCTTCTCTCTACTACTTGGCCCCTATCTTTTTACTCCAGATCAGTGCCGTTCAATAGAAACATGAGCCACAGGTGTGAGCTTCAGATGGAACTTCCTGGTAGCCACAATACAAAGTTTTAAGATGAAGTTTATTTTAATAATATATGTGATTTAAATCAGTATATCAAAAATACTATCATTTAACATGTGATCAATATAAAAGTTTTTAGTGAGTTATTTTGCTTTCTTTGTTTCACACTAAGTCTTCCAAATCCAGCGTGTATTTTATACTTACACAGCGCATCTCCTTTCAGACTCAGCACATTTCAAGGGCCCGGTTGCTGCCTGTGGCTAGTGGCTCCTGTGCTGGCCGGAGCAGGTCTAGATTTAGGAGTGTTGGGTTTCAGGTTCTCTGTGTATTTTATTGTAAGACACCTTAGAACCCCAAGGACTCAGATCTTCAGAGCGGTTAAGAACACTCCATCCCTCTGACTGGGGCCTTCGGCAAGTTATTTAACCACTCTGTGCCTCAATTTCCTCGTCTCTGAAAGGAGGATAATGATGGCCCCTCATCAGGGTTATTGTGAGGTCACAATGAGGTAGCGCATGCGCGCTGCTCCTGGCGTAGCATGAGTGACTAGTCAAGGCTTGCTAGCGTGTTTACCGCTTTTACTTTTGAAGATAATCTGTATGTCTGCATAGTAGGTATTATAAACACACAGCCATGAGGTGTGTAGTTTTTTCCTCTGAAACTTAAGATTCTTAAACATTGTGGGGGGGGGCAAAAAAGAAACCTTCGATTCTTAGCAGAAATGTAAAAACATCAAAATATCAACTTCTAAGTTTAATTTTGCAAAGCTTAACATTTAGCTAATACGTACTTTATTATTCCCCCTTTGACATGGTGTTAACGTTCTAGACAAAGACAGATGTTTCTGGCACACTAATTCCTCCTCCTTTTGTCGGCCCAGGGTGAGTTCGTAGATGACGGGACCGAAACGCACTTCGGTCTGGGGAAGCACGCCTGTTACATAAAGGCCGTGAGCAGCGGGAAGCGGAAGGAAGGCATTGTTCACACGCTCATCGTGGATAACAGAGAAATCCCAGAGGCTTCTGGGTGACTTCATGTTCATGAATGTTAATCTTGAGAAGTAAAGATCAGGACTTTTAAATTACTGTGGTAATTAAATATGTTCAGTATGTACTTCTCAGTACATTTAGTCTGCCATGTCCTTAGTTTTTAGTTACTTGAATCTGTAATGTTCCAAGGGTCAGAAAAAACCAAAAGAATTATGTACAATCATAAAAATTCCAATTTACTTTGTAAATAATGTAAAATGTTTTAAAGCCAAATGGAAAATAAGATATGGACCAAAATCACTAATGTTTTACAAGGGGAACTTTTACTATAATAAATACTATGAAACAAAGTTGGTCCTGCTTCCTGGTGTTTCTAAAAATGGATGTCTGCATATATTTTTAACCTGTTCAGCTAGGTTGTCTCTTGTTCAAAGCAGTTGGTACATAATTATATGATTAGTTTAATTGGAGAAAATGAGGAACATTTTCTAACTGGAAATTTAATATTAAGGAAATGTCAAATAGTGACACATAAGAATTTAATTAAAAATGGGTTTCTGAAGATGTAGTTGTTTTGTGTAATCAGCATGGTGAGGACAAGCAAAACAAGAGGAAGAAGCAAACCTCTACCGAGACTGCACAGCTGCATCCTCAGGCATGTTTAAAAAGGCAGGGCTGGGGGCCGGCCCGGTGGCGTAGTGGTTAAGTTCAGCGCACTCTGCTTCGGCAGCCCAGATTTGCGGGTTCAGATCCTTGGTACAGACCTACACTCGTCAGGCATTCTGTGGCAGCAGCCCATGTATAAAGTGGAGGAAGATTGTTCCTCCAATGTAACAGATGTTAGCTCATGGCTGATCTTCCTCAGCAAAAACAAAAAAAGTCAGAGCTGCATTCTTCTGTCTGGAAATAGCACCAGTGTCAGTGCTCTTTGACTAAAGCATGCCCACCCAGGCAGACTCGCTGAGATGCCAAGTCAGTACGGTAAGTGCCCAAGATCGTTGGTTTCGGTACTCTTGTCTGAAGGTCTTTCAAGGCAGGATATGGTTCAATAGTAGAGTCTTTTATTGGAGCATTTCATATCTATTATCACGTAATCCTCCATGAGAGGAGAATTCTCCATTTTCTAGACTTTCTCTGTCCAATGGGGTAGCCATTAGTCATGTGGCTATTTAAGTTAAATTAATTAGAATTAAATACTATGAAAAATTCAATTCCTCTATCACGCTAACCACATTTCAAGTGCTCAGTAGTCACAGGCTAGTGGCTACCATATTGGACAGTGCAGATACAGAACATTTCCATCCTCGTACCAAGTTCTCTTAGACAGCACTGGCCTGGATACTTTGTCTCAAGTTTAGTGAGTTGCTCAGTACTGGCATAGGCAAGATTTTAAACCCAGGTTTTCCTGACACTAAAACCCATGCCCTTTACTACCATCTCCCTGCCACTAACATATTTCTAAGAGATTTGGGGCTGAACAGAGGCACAACCAGGTTCTACCACCAGGAAAGAGCAACTGAGGGGCAGGACAGCAGAGAGAAGATGGCTCAGACAGGCCAAGGCCAGGCAGGCAACGTGCTTGATGGCAGAGAGAGCGTATGAAAATTTGCCTTGACTACTTGCTTCCTGCAACATCTTTTTATTTTGAAGTCTTCCCACCCGGCAGGTCAGCAGACTACCTTTACAGAAACTCTCCCTCTGCTCCCCCCGTTCCACCCCCCAGCTCTGCTTCATTGCCCCTGGAAGACCGGGAGAGGCGCTAAGGGGAACTCTGCTGAAGCGTGTAAAACTCACATTTGGGTTTGTTTTCAAGGGTTTGAGTGTTGTGGTTTGTTTTCATTTCTCTTGAATAAAGGGCTTCTTTTAATGGACATATTTTATCTGGTACAAAAAGGGTTTTGTGCCATGTCCAAAAGCAAAGCCATTAATTTCAGGCACTTTGTTTTGAAATCTGGTTATTAGAGGTCAAAACATGTGCTTTCCAGTGTGTGTCAGGTACCTCAGCAAACACTTGGGGACACAGTTTGTTGGGTCTTTGTGAGACCCACCCTTGGGAACGCAGCCTTGCCTTTGACTGGTGAACCCTTGTTTTGTTCTGTTAATTCAAAGCAGCATGGCAGTGTGGGAGGAGTACAGCCTGGGCTTGAAGTTTGGCTGAGCAGGTTAAGTTCTTGAGCCTCCGTTTCCCCATCTTAAAAAATGAGGCTATTTTGTTTTGATTGTTTAATGAGATATTTCAGACATACAAAAAATAGAAAATAACAAACAGTTGTATTATTCAACTGGATGTACCTATCACCCAGTTTGAAGCATTAGAGGACAACTGAAGTGCCATGGACCTCCCTGTTCCCATTCTCCTCTCTTGCCCAAGTAATAACTGTTGTGAATTTCATGTTCATCATTCCCATGCAAGTCTGTATTGTTTTTCTATATAGGTATATATCCCTAAACAATATACAGTATTATTTTAAATTTTAAATATCATATTCTACATATCCTTTTTGCAACTTGCTTTTTCCCCACTCAGCAGTTTGAGAGACTCACCTAGGTTGGTATGTCTAACTCCAGTTCCCGTAACTCTTGCATTCACCCACACGAATGTAGCCATCCACACGCCTCGGTGGTTTCCAGAGGATCGTTAGTACCATCAGTGCTCTAATGAACATCTTCGCGTATGCCCCTTGAGGATATGCTCAAGAGTTTCTCTTGGGCCTTGGTATTTAAAGTGTGTCCCTGGACCAGCAGCAATGATGTCACCTAGGAGCTTGTTAGAAATTAAGAATCTCAGGTCCTTCCCCAGGCCTACAGAACCTGAGTGCGTTTTAACAAGACCCCATGGTGATTTGCATGCACGTCAAAGATCGAGAGGCACTGTGAGAGGTCTAGTCAGAAGTGAACTGCTAAATCAGAGGGTACGTGCATCTTCAGTGTTAGCAGATGTTTGCCAAATTGCTCTCGAAGGTGGCTGCACCATTAGAAACTCTGACCACCCAGGACAGTTCTTTCCTCAGATCTTCAACATTTGATTAGTCAGGATTTTAAAGCTTTGCCAGTTTGATGGTTTTTAAAATATAGTTATCTCATCATAATTTTATTTTCTCTGATTACTAGTGAAGTTGAATGTCTTAACATGTTTATTGGCCATTCAGGTTTCCTTTGCCAAGAATTACATTTTCATTTCTTTTGCCTGTTTTTCTATTGAGTTGACATTTTCTAATCAATTTGTAGTAGTTCTACATACATTCCACAACTAAAATCATTCCTTTGACGGTAGCCTTTGCCTTGTAGTGGGTAAAAACATGCACTAGATCAACAACGCTCCCAGTCATCCCTTGACTTGAACACAATATCTACTTCCTCCAGTGAGCCCTGAGGGTGGGGACCTCATGCCGAGTATCCCCCAGGACCTAGCAAGCCCCTCACAGCTGGTAGGCAGTGAGACTCACATTACCGCAGCTCAGAGGAGAGGTCTTGTCTGGAGATACACATGTGGGCATCGTCAGCATATAGAGGAAATTTAAAGCAATGGGAATGGATAACATCAACTAGGGAGCTTGTAGAGAAAAACAAGAAGAGAGTGGAAGATTAAACCATGAAGAGCTACAGCGTTTGAGACTGGCTAAGGGCAAGGGAGATCTTCATTAAGGAAGGAAATACTGAAGCTGTAAAACAAAAGACAAGACATATTTGACTATCTAGAAATTTTAAAGTCATATGGTAAAAGGTACCATAAACAAAGGCAATATACAAACAATAGATTTGGGGAAAATATATGTAATGTAGATGACAAGGGTCAACATATATATAAAGAGCTCTTAAAAATTGGGCACTAGCCCAGTAACTATGTGGTTAAAGTTCTACACACTCTGCTTTGGCAGCCTGGGGTTCACAGGTTCGGATCCCGGGTGCGGACCTACTCCACTCATCAGCCATGCTGTGGCGGCATCCTACATACAAAGTAGAGGAAGATTGGCACAGATGTTAGCTCAGGGCTAATCTTCCTCAAGCAGAAAAAGAGGAGGATTGGCAGTGGTGAATCTTCCTCTCACACACACAAAATTGTAAAATGGATAAAGGATATGGATAGGCTATCTACAGATAAGGAAATCCAAACAGCCAATAAATAGATTTTGAAATGCTCAAATTAATTTGTAGTAAGAGATTATTGTAATAATGAAAACAGCAACAAAACCTAAAAGGAGCGGTGACATGTTACTGTCTGAGATGTGCAAGAAAGGGTACCCCTTAATGTTTTGGTGGTGAAAATAAATATTTTAAGTTTTTAGGAAAGCAATCTGACATTTATTAAATTAAAAATTCCATTTATATAAAGTTCAAACTAATAAACAGTCTTAGAAGTCCATAATGCTCACTTGGGGGGGAGTTAGCAACTAGGCACATGAGAGGAATTTCTGGGATGATGGTAATTTTCTATTTTTGATCTGGTGCTGGTTACAAAGATGTGCTCACATTGTGAAAATTAATGAAGCTATATATCTATATGATTTTTACCTTTTTGTATGTTATGTTTTGTACAAATGTTAAATTTTGATAAAGATTTTAAAGTGCACTTACAATAAAGCTTTTAAAAGCATAACACCCCACCCCTAGACACACACACACACACACACACACACACTCTTCTCTTGGGAATCTATCCCATAAAAACAGAGCCATCAGTATCAGTATATAAGGATAAGGATATATATACACAAGGATGTTTATTGTAGCATTGTTCATAGTGGGGAAAAAAAGAAAGTGGACATTGTGAATGCCCATCTACAAAGAAATGATTGAATAAATTAACATATGCCATGAACTACAATCCAACCATTCAGAAGATGAACTGGAGAGATTTCCGTGAGATATTTTTGAGTAAGAGAAAAGCAGCTTGCAGAAACTTGGGTATAATATAGACCAATTATTTAAAAAAAAAAAAAAAAAGACAGACACAGTCTATAATATTTGTGTGCATGCCTCTTTTTTCCCCCTGTATGTGCTTATATAAGCATGGAGAGAAATATGGAAGGTTACAAACAGGTAACATGAGCTACCTAGTGGGGATGGGGAATGAGGTTGATGATGGCGGGGGGGGGGGGGGTAACCAATCAAAATTCAAGAGAAAAAATAAGATTTCACTTTTAAAAACTAAGCACTTACCACATTTATGCAAATTTTTTATAAGAAATGTACAAAGGAAAAACAGATTGGACAGAGAAGAAAGTGTTAGTAAAGGAGTGTTTTGAGATGGTAGAAAATCCTAAGATGTAGAAAGTATTGTAAAACAGAAATAGTTAACTATGTCAACTTGCTGCTGAGAAGATGAGAAGCACGAGAACTGAACAGTGTCCATT